TCACCGGCAGAATTCTGTATATCTCGCTCGATGGGAACGGGGTGTGCAGGAAGAATCCAATCTTGACATTCTTCCTGGTGTCGCCGATTTCCTCGCGCAGCATCTCGGGGAGGAGCATAAGATGGTAGTCGTGGACCCAGATCATGTCGCCGTCCTGTACGTCTTTGGCCATGGTCTTGGCGAAGAGGCGGTTCACTTGCTTGTATGCTGACCAGGCGGATTCGTCGAATGTGATTTCTCCGGGGTGGTAATGGAAGAGCGGCCACAGGATGGAATCTAGAGATACATCAGCGTATACTCTGTAAGCGATGGACATAGCACTTACTCGAAAAGCCGTTGTAATGGCGATCTGCGAGCTCATCGTCAACAAATATGGGCGTCGCGCCATACTCGTCTCTCAGACGAGTAGTCAAGTCCTCGACCTCTGCCTCTGGGACCTCCAGCCCAGGCCATCCGTACCATTGGAACTTGGTCGTCTTTGCCAAGCCACTGAGACCTGTGACCAGGCCACCAGAGGACATGCTGAAACTGTACGTTCCATCGTCGGTGCGCTTGATGGTTATGGGCAGGCGGTTGGAGACGAGGAGAAGGCGTCCCGAGCCGTCCTTCGTGGGTTGTACGGCACTGCTCATTTTGATAGGTGGTGAAAGGTATTATTTATTGTTAAATCGAGGTTTGGGGAGCTTGCGCAGAAGTGCTCTGCTCCAGTCGCTCGTTTGGAGGTTCAAACGAAGCCCAAGACAGGTACTTGGCGGGGTAACAAATATAGTAAGCCGCGAATTGCCTCAGCAAGTCATCCAGTACAAGTCGATCTCTGGATGTTGCAAAGAAGGTAAAATACGTCGAAAGTGACAGGAAGTGTTGATATCGTCGTAAGAGGTATAGAGTATAGAGTTGTGTCGTGTTGGTTTCGTAGAAATCGTTTCGTTCCAAGTTGCGGCGCAAAGGGTATGATGATGTAGTTTCGTCCCGCACCTCAAATCACCCCAATCGCAGCCACGGAATCGAAAACGGACGGAGGAGGGGCAGCCTAAACCCGCCTTGCGCATTCAAACTTGGCCCTTGTATTTCTCCAGCCACCACAGCCCAGCCCGCCAATTACCGCCGAGGGCTACTACGGCAACAGCACCAAGAAGAGGGAAAAGTTTATCGAAATGCCCCGGGCAATTCGGAGGATTCAAGGTTCATGAGAAGAGAGGGCATTCATACAATTAAAAGCCTCAACTTCATGGTTCCATACAGACGCTGCTCCGACGCCACATGTTTTACCCTCCCATGAGCTGAGCACGGACTTGGCGCGCAGCTGGCTGCTAAAGATTGCTACCCGATCAATGATGATGGCATCGCCAACTCTATTATTATCGCCCTGGGACAGGCATGTCCATTCGGCCCGCTCAGCCATTCATCCATGATTTTGCGGAGACCCGTTATATATAATACGTGAAGAAAATTTCTCCCGGGTGTTTTTGGAGGATGAGATATTTTATTTTCCGCAGCTGAAAATCACTCTTTTCGGAGAGAAATACTTACTATGGATGCTGCTGTGCGAGTTCTCGTCGATAAAAGGCGGGGGTCTAGAACAGGGATTTGTGAGGGCTAGAACAATGACCACATGCAGCCACAAGATATCTTCAGCCTATGGCCAGCGACAGTGTCACAGGTAATATAAAGCCGATATAATGCGATTGAACTATCGACCAAAAAATGCCTCTTAAGTATGTATTCCTATTTCTCGAAACCATTGTATGCTACGCTACCTCTCCAATGCAACATGCTACTGTAACCATCATAAGCTTCATAATTCGTATACACCACCCATTCTACCGCCACAGCAAGCCAAACAACCAGCCATCCTCACAATCACCTCCTCCTCCCAAACTTCCCTCCAACCCTCCCCCCCTTCGCTCCCGAATTCTTCATCTTCATCCTCTTATAATTCGTATGCGCCTGTGCCCCAACCTTCTGCTTGCGTCCCGTCATCTTCTGCTTGCTCCTCTTGTATCTCGTCCCGCCCTCCGAGGCAGTGTACTCTGTGCCGCTATCCGAGTCCGAGTCGAAGTTACGGACTGCTTTGTAAAGAGGTAGCGAGTCTGCCTCAAAGCCTTCCTGTGTATCTGGGACGAGATCTGAGTTCTGAGTGTCCCCGCCTTGCGTATCATCCTGCCCCTCATCGTACTCGTCATCTTCATCGTCCGAGTAAGTCGTAGGCGCAGCCTCTTGAGCTGGCGCTTTAGTCCTTGTAGGCCTAATATTGACCTTCCTCGTCGTCCTCTTCTGCCCCTTCTTCTTGTAAACAGGAAGTTTACTATCCCTATCCGCAATCGCCTGCTCCCTTTCCCCCAGCCCATCATCCGCATCCTTGCCATCATTATTGAAATCCAGATCCGGGAAATCGATAAATGGGAAATCGGTAAGCTGCTGGCTATCGCCGACCTGAACACTTTCTTGTAGTTTCGGCGCTTGAGGTTTAGGTAATGTCTGCTTCGGGCCAGCATTCGGAGGGGGCGGGCCACTCTCCATCTCCCGCAGGGCGTCAAGATCGTCATCCAGTGCTTCCTCCTGCATCTCCCTCAAACTCGCCAGCATACTGCTTAACCCCCTAACAAGCGACCTCTTCGGCATCCTCGGCGCCGGCGGTGACAGAGCATCCGCAGCATCCTCACTTATAGCCGGAAGCGCAGCAATCCTATTATCCCTTCGCAAAAACGAAGGCGTCGAGAGGTTCAGCTTCGACACCGAACTCGGCGTCAACGATGCCTGTCTGGTGCTACCCTCGTTGCTCCCCCGCCGACGCTTCAAGGGTGTCACAAACGTATCCAGCAAGAAGCGTTTACTACTCGACAGCGGCGTCCTCGAATGTCTCGCCGCGCTCGGCGTAGCCATGATCCCGTCATCGGCATCTTTCGCCTTCCGCGGCGTCTCTTGGATGCTTGGGGCGTCGGTTGGGGCAGCTGGTTGTTTGAATGGTGAGATTTCGTCACCGCTGGGCATGGCGTCGAAGATACCGAGGAACTTGCCATCTTTCTGCGGCGTGGGCCCGATGACACGGGGCTTTTGCGGGGTGAAGAGGAGGCGGTTCGCGGAGGGGGTGTCGAATGGACCGGCTGTTGAGGGTTGCGGGTGTATCTGGGATGGAGTTTGAGACTCTACGACTGCTCGTCGTTTGGCGGGCGTCCCAAGTGTATTAGAAGGGGATTTCCGTTTCGAGGAACGGGGCGCGTTGTCTTCTGACGCCTTGGTCTTTGGTTTTGGAAGAGGTTTCGCGGGTATTTTGCCAGAGAGAATATCTCGAATTCGATTATAATCTTTGTATTTCTGAGCTGCGTAATACTGTCAGACCATACATCATACTCGCGGAATGGATCAACATACCTATCTGAGAGTTCTGCTTAATATCCTCCCTCCCAGCCTTCATCCCCCCATTCCCAGCCGCAAACTCCCTCTCCCAAACCTTCAGCTCCTGCCTCAGCACAACCGACCGCTCCGACAAAACATTCCGTTCTCCCTCATCCATAATTCGTATTCCGTTGTCGCCGCAGCGTCGTCTCGAAATGTCGCTTTCGCTTTCTCAGCCCTAACAACGGGTGGACGCGACCAGAACCGTGTAATGGCTAAATTAGCGCGTCCCGGACCGCGCCTCTTATCGTTATCGCCCCGGCCATAATTATCCCCCAAGTCCCCCATCGCCCCTCCACCCCCATTCCCCATCTCCATGGACACCAACGCCGACGACGACGCCACGAAGTCACAGGTGCTACAAACGACACTCGCTGAGATTGCTGCTCGCGCAGGCGCTGACGCAGAAGAATGCTGCGTAATATGCCTTGACCTCCTCACTGAGAAGGCGCAGGCAGCGCCCTGTAGCCACGCGAGCTTCGACTTTATATGCCTGGCCAGCTGGTTGCAACAGCGCAGTTCCTGTCCCCTATGCAACGCTGAGGTTTCTGAAATCCACTACGCCTTCACAGATGAGACGAATTACAAAGTCTACCCAGTTGCATCTACCAAATCCGCCACACCCTCCGCCGTCCCGTCACCACAGCGAAGCGTCCCCCATCGACCACCTCGCCCGCGGCGGCAGTACACACATACCCCCACCCCACCCCCCGACGACGCCCTCGCCCGCCGCAGAGCAGTCTACGCACAGAACCTCTACTCCCTCCACGTAGGCAGCAACCGAATCTCCCGCTTCCGGGATTTCACGCCACAATCCCTCTCCGCCTCCCCCGAACTCCAATCACGAGCGCGGACCTGGATACGGCGAGAGCTACGGGTTTTCGCCTTCTTACAACCTACCGATAACACTGCGGAGGGGGAGGGGGCAACAGTGGGGGAAAAGAGAAGGGGGAGAGGTGATAATGCGGAGTTTTTGCTGGAGTATATTATAGCTGTTCTGAAGACGGTGGATGTGCAAGGGGCGTCGGGGCAGGCGGAGGAGTTACTGAGGGAGTTTTTGGGGAGGGAACATGCGAGGTTATTTTTGCATGAGGTGAGGGCTTGGTTGAGGAGTCCGTTTGGGAGGGTGGAGGATTGGGATCGGAATGTGCAGTATGCTGTGCCGCTTGTGAAGGTGGGGGAGGGGAGGGGGGATGTGAGGGATGGGAGTAGGAGAGGGAGGAGGGGGGGTGATAGGTATGCGCCGTATAGAGGTGGGAGGAGAGGTGTTGAGGAGGCTAGATTGAGGTATGATCCTGATTGAATAAATATAAAATTATGAATATAAATGTAATCTTTTTGAAGTTATTTATTTGACGTATAATTTGGTGAATAAATCATAGATATTAACCTCGATTTTTTAATATTCATACATAAATATATCCCACACTCTTAAGTTTTAGATACAGCAAATAAAACAACAACTATTAATCCCTCTCTACCATCCCCAACCTACACACATCTTTCTCCCTACCTCTACTAACCGGTCGTGTGAGTGAAACTGCCGCAAAAACCGTCTGGTGTTCATAGGCCTTTTTTTGCCATACCCCTGGAAATCCGAAAACGCTCCAATGGCGCAATGGTAGCGCGCAAGACTTCTACTAATGACTCTAGTCTAGTCAACGTAAATCAATCTTGAGGTTGAGGGTTCGAGCCCCTCTTGGAGTGGATTTTTATATTTTTTGCCATTATTTACAATTTTTTGTTATAGCTATATCGTTAATATCGTTCGTATTCATCCAGAAAAACCCTCTGTGTCTTTTTTGAACGCAAATCAAAAGAATTGCTGCTTTCACAACTCATTTTTTTGGCAATTTTTTACTACACCACCAAATCGTGGGGTCTTGGCGGGGAAATCGCTTACCTAGTCCCGCCCTCAACTCGCGAGTGTGGATTTCCCTAGCACCCACCACTCCATTTAGCGAGCAGCCACCGACCGCGAGGGTCTGGATCGTTTACAATGGATGCATAACATAAACCTGCTTATTTATACCTCCGGACACCACGGATGTAACGGACATTGATTGAAAAACCAGCAGCCCCATCATATGTACTGTACTGTATGTATGCCCAGGTTTGACTCGGGAACTCCAGTTTCTAAATACGAAGCTGGCTCCAGCTGAAAGTCAAGGAAGGCGCTGACACGAGAATATCCCTATCCTGTAGCCGCTGGTGTTATACCCAACCCTATCCCTCCCTCGCATCACCAAGACCAAGATCTTACCTCCCTGCACCACCACACGCACCGCGCGTCCTCTCCTCACGAAAAAGCCCGAATCCAATCCAATCCTCGGATCCGTCTCACTGCATCCCATCCCAGATCTCTTGTTCTCCCAAACCCCAGCGTGCGTGGCGTCCCAATATCCGCACAGACTTTCCCTATCTCCGTCCGGATGGGATGGAGCTGTTGCTGTGCTTGCTGGCTCCTGTGGTTGTCGGGCCAAGCCCACAGGTAGGTTCGGGAAGGAGGGGAGGGCTAAGAATAGAGGTCTGGAAGGCCTGGTTGGTTCGGTCGGTGGGTTTGTGGAATTGTCGATAACGGGGGAGTACAGAGAGAGGGCACGCCGGGGGGTTATGTCATCGCGTTCTCGAACTACGTGAGTGGGTGTGGATGTATGTGTACAGCACAGTGCAGTACAGTACTCCGGTCGTGTCAGTACTCTACATATGATACAGGGCGTACGAGCGTCTACGCGTCTCACTCTCGAGAAGCTGACCGCGTCCTTCCCTCCCTCCCCTCCCTGCCTCCCACCGAGTCGTCCAGCCGCCGGCCATCACAGCAACAGCCCAAATGTCTCACCCATCATCACGTGATACCTGTCTCTAAACTCGCGCCCTCACTTGCTGTGTGGAGTTGTGAGGCGGGCGGGTGTGTGTGGGACAACAGACAGACAGAACAGCCAAGAAGGGGGGAGGGCTAAATATAAAACAGGTAAGAGATTGACCTGTGGATATGCTGTGTGTGTGAGTGCTGTTTATTGAGTTTTCGGATTCTCCACCGTGGAGAACGGATGGCATGGATGGGCTAGGGAGAGAGGTTCTGGATGCCGGTCGGTGATGATGGGATTTTTTTTGGGAGAGGTTTTTGGTGGTGTGGGTTTTGGCGTTTGTGGCGGAGTGGCGTTTTCTTTGGCGGTGGTAGTTTGTTTTTGGGTGTGTTTGTTGGGATAAGTTATGTATGTGTGTGTGAGCTGTTTACTTTTACTTGGACTCTCTGTGGTCCTAGTGGTGGTGGTGGTTGATTGACTAAAGGGCCTACAGAGAAGTGGTGAGAGAGCTTGGATGGGGGCAGCACGTGAAGCGGGAATGGCGGCGGTAAAGCTGTCGTTGGCATGTGTTGAGTGTACAGTCAGTACCACGGTTTGCCATCTCGGCTTCCCCTATAATCCTGTCAATTCTAAGTAGTAGGGGCTGTGTATATACATGAAGCAACAGTTTAAAATGGAAAATTGAGGCTGAGCAAAAAGAGAGACCAAGTTAAAGCCGTTCGTTCGTTTGTGCATTGTTAATAACAGTTTTTATCACTCGTCATAACTTGTGTATACGAACCTAAGTAACCCCTTCATCAACTTCGGGTATTAAAAATTCTAGCATGAGACAGACGAAACTCCGCCACAATACCTTTCGCGCGGTATTTCGCTGTATTTTTTTTTGCAGGGCGGTACGTACCCGCCGTGACAGGGGCGACGGATGGCGGAACTGCAGGAACAGCGGACCCTCCCATTTTTCGCAGCGGACGATGTGGATAAGGTGTGGGAGTGGGCAGCCAATGGGGGAAGAGGTAAACGGGCAATCGTGGATGGATGGGGTTAGAGGGTGATTTCCTGTCATTTCGCTTAATTGGGGGGCTAGGTGGGATGGGGTGTTAGTGTGGGAATGGTGGTGAATGATGTGAATGATGGTGTATCTGTTGTGTGTGTACTTGTATCGTTGTGGTGATGATGGGAGGGTGAGTGTGTGAGGGAGATGTGAGGGAGATGTGAGGGAGGTTGTGAGGCCTGAGGTGTTAGGGAGAGTGAAACGGAACATTCCCGAGACGTGTCACTTGTACACTTGTGCTGGGGAGACCAGCTATGGGGTACAAGGTATCTGTCTGGTCTGTCTCCTCCTTCTCTTCTCGCCGTGAACAGAAATGATAGGCACAACACGAGACACAAGTGCACGCCAGCGCAAACCCCGTCCCAAGACTCCACGGCAGGAAATATGTTGATCTTTCAACTTGTGCTGTACTGTACTGGTTGGTGGTGTACTGGGACTGGACTGGTGTTGTCCTGGTCCTGTATGGTCCTGTATGGTCCTGTATGGTACATATTATTGTCTAGTTATGTACTTAGTGTTACTGTGCATTTGCTCTTGTGATGCAGGTACCTCCCCCTCAGCGGTTATCTGTGGTTACTGTACTTTCCGTACTTTTACTGTACTTTTACTGGACTGTTGTTACTGCTATGTGTGCCTGCTTTTTGCCCGTTAGCTTGCTAATTCCTGCTAATTCCTGCTATTCCCCCTCTTCTCTCCCTCCCTCCCGCGTCTCCCTGTGCCTGTTCCTGCCTGTGCCTGAGCCCTTTCCCACTTCCCGGAGGTACCTGATCAAAGTACCACCACTTCAACAACACCGTACTTCCCCATCCTTTCCCTCCTACACCCCCCCCCTGCCTTTCCGGTCCTCTCTCTCAACTCACACGCACCCACACCTCTCTCGGTCTGTATCTGTGTCAGTCTCTCTCTCTCCTCTCTCTTCAATTCCATCACGAAACGCCATCATCGACGACATTCACCTTCCTTCATCCATCATCACACTCCCTCGTCTGTCCATCCAACTTGATCACCCTGTGTGATTCACGACATTCGCTTTATACCCCCGTCGTCGACACTTTGTCGATTCTCTTCCCACCGCCCATTCATTCCTCGGTAACCCGGTTCATTTCGACATAGCGGCAATAGGAAACAATAGATCCGACAGATCCGACCAGAGAAACAAAATCACGAGCGGCATCGATCCCATCGAACAGGCATCTCCTATAGCAACCGACCGATATTTTCAAAAAGGGAGCGAAGTCAGGACAAAGAAACGTCCTCTGTCAAACGGTCTAGCGTCACGAACCTCGACCCCATCGGAAGCGTCATTAGGGTGGTCGACGTCCATCTCGACATCAAACAACCAACAGTGCTGAATTCCCCATCATCTCCGAGGCCGCGGCCAACATATCCACCATGCTCTTCTCATCAGTTCTCGCAGCCGCCGTCGCGCTGCTTGTGCCGTCACTCACAGATGCGTTCGATATTGTAAAGGGCGACTGTTACGATACCCTAGACGGATTTGTCCATGGCTTCACCGAACAGTGGCAGGCGGCGTCCGCATGCTCGACTCATTGCGTACCGTTGGGTAAGCCGGTGATGGCGATTAACGGCTCCGATTGTTGGTGTGCCGATACATTACCGGCGATAAAGCACAAGGTGGACATCTCGAAGTGCTCAATGGTGTGCCCTGGCTATGGCCAAGATATGTGTATGTGACCTGCTTGGATATTTGTCGATATCATGCTGACATGAAACAGGCGGTTCAAAAGATGGGAATTATTTCTCCACGTGGAACGACGGCCTTGATCTGACTATCAAGAATGCCGATGCAGCGGCGGCCGCTAGCACTCCTTCATCTAAAACATCAGCACCAGCCGAGACCACGGCAAACAGCCCCTCTGTGGTGACAAATTTCGTCGGAGGTGAGTTTCTTCTGCCCTCCTAACTGCCGAACTTTTGCTGACATGTCCAGGCCAAACCGTCATCGTAACCCAGTCACCCGCAGCCACCAAAGACACCGGCAGCTCAGGCCCAAATGTAGCCGCCATCGCCGCAGGCGTCGTTGTCGGCGTGGTCGTCATCGCCGCAGCGATCGGAGGGACGTGGTTCTTCCTGCGTGCTAGGAACCGTCGCGAGCTGGAGGACGCACACAGGCGCCAGGCGGCCATCAACGCCTTCGTCAAGTCACCGAGTGACGCGCCCGCATTCGATACCAGACTCGAGCCAGCTATCATGCGTAGGATGAGCGCTGGCAGCATCGCGGATAACCAGGACTACTCGAGGAGAATCCTCAAGGTATGTGCAAGCTCCTCATTAAATAACGTGGACACGTGCTAATAATATGCAGGTCACGAACGCATAAATCCGCATCCACTGCAGGGCAGTTGGCTAGGCCGAGCGCTTCGAATCTCACGACAATGACTTTGTATTTCTCTTGTAATCGCATGCGGCCGTCCTTTTTCCTAATCCAGCTCCCGGCCCCGCCCCCCGTCGAAAGCCCGGCATATACGATCGGACAATATCTAGTTTTCTCGATTCCGATAATAGTTGTGCTTGGCCGATGTCGAACCTTCGAATCTCCAACGCAACGTTTCTCATATCCGTCACCAATTGTCACACCGCCTCTCCACTCTCTACCACTCGCCTTTCTCTTGATCCCTCCAGTCCTGCCATCACTCCATTGGCGTGGATTGGATGGATAAGGGACATACACGGCTCGGCCTCCTAAGGCCATACTATGGGACTTACCTTCTCCCACACCACCACACTCTTTGACGAACGAACGCTTCGAGGCTACCTGTTGCAAACTGCCTACGACCCCCCCCCTCCTCCACCTACCGCTCCACAATATAGGTACGGTTGGTTGGCTG